CTCATCTATGGCGTGCTGGCATGAGAACAATCTACGTCTTTAAGACCGTGAGTTTTAAGAGGCTAGGTCTATTCAGACTTAGGCTTTTACTGTTGCTTCAGGCTCAAGCCGCTCGACCCTCTAAACAAGTCTCAATCCGTGGAGCGATAGCTATTGAGATTGGGTTGCATGGTGGCTTGCAATGTTGCTTTTAGGGGATCAAAGAAGACTTTAGTTTACCAATTTTTTGTTAGGTTTGTTTTGTTTAGTCTATGTGTGTGTTTGTGATTATCTATTTTTCCCAAGTTGTTTCGTTTTCTTCTCTTTTATTAAGAAGAGTGTGGTTTAGTCCTTTTGGTACCTAACTATGTTGTCCTACTATTATGTATTTTAATTGATACATATGCCGTCAAAAAAAAACAAAAAATTAGAATTTATGCGGTATCAACTCAAGAAATCAATCCAAGTTTTTAAATAAGAGCTAAGCTACAAACAAATAACAGCAAAATTCTAATTTTTGACAACCAAAATTCTAATCTTTGACAACAAGCCATTGCTTAAAATTTACATATAAATTAACAGCTAGTTTTTTTTATAGGAATCGAATTTAAATAATTAAAAAAAATTAAGAAAAAAATGTAATCCAACCATGTGCCCAAATAGACCACAAAAAACTGAGATCAAATGGACGAGTATATTGGAAAGAGACAAAACAGATTCAATCTGGCAAACGTAGAAATTGCCTCAGAACATTCGTAAAAGGCTCTGGGACAGAGTGCGTTTGCCGCAAATACTATTTAAAAAAAAAACACTGGTTTTTTGAGAACAATAATAAGGGTACAAAGATTTGCCGGCAAATAAAGGGCCTGAAAAATCAGTTACAGATCAGATTCAGGCGAGTGTTGCCGGAGAGTTTTAGTATCGCAAGCTTGAGTCTTAAAATTGGCTGGACCGTCATTGTACTTGGATCCAGTCAAGAAGCTGAACTTGCTTTCTTTTTTTTTTTCAGATTTTAAAAATAAAAATAGAATAAATTCAATAAAAATGGATTTACTCAGGAAATTTTCGTTTTTTTTCTTTTTCCCTTCAGAATTGAAGATAAAATCAGATAAATTGAATAAAAGAATATTTTTACAGACAAATGCGCAGAGTGCTCTTGCAGAAAAGATGAGGCGTAGATGAAAGTTGGAGTAGTGTGTGAGAATATATAGTGGAGTAATGGGGCTAGGGCACAGTTAGTTGTGATGGGCCAACAGGCTTTTGAGCCCATTACTATGTACCCTTTTTTTATAGTAGGCCCATGACAAGTTGGTTTAGGACAGCATCACCTTTCAGTTAGCGCAATCTAGCGCGCAGGATATATGATAGAATTTTTAAAAAAGTGAAATTCAGTAAGAGTGAATTATAGAATCATGTGTCATTAAATTCAGCTTAAAATAGGCCACTAAACAGATTAATATATTATAAAAAAAATAAAAGATTTATTAGATATTTATTTTGTACATTCATGTCATGTGGTACCTCAAATATATGTACTACTGTACTAGTAGATTTATGTATGTGGTTGTTAACTGAAACGAGATATTCATGAGCTCATCTCGTTAACATTCAAGCTCAGCTTGATGCATTTGATAAAAGAGTTGAGCTCGAGTTTGCTTATAACTCGTTTTGTGAACGAGCAAAAGTGTTAAAAGACAAAAAAATGTGAGATTTTATTTAATTTTATGATTCGATCCGTTAAGGCTCATTTTTGGCTAAGCTCGACTCATGTCATCCCTAGGTACATATTATAATTATGCAATACGCATTGAACTTTTAAACTAGATGTAGAATGCTACAATCGGATGATCCACAAATATGGAAAAGAAGACAACATCTAAACAACCGACTAAATTGATTATTCCGCTGAATTTAGTTGGGAGGACTTCAACAAGATAGCCTAGAACCAACCTAATAAACAAAAAGCTCACAAACTCTCAACCGGAGAATACATAAAGCTCCCACAATGTGAGAATAAACAAACTCCCAACGGGATAAAACATAAACAAAAACACAAAAATAAAAGCACATAAAAAACATATATTGCTAAGCCCTCCCCACCAGCCAAACACCCCCCCAAACCGACACCTATGCAACATTTCAAGTGATACGTAT